CTCAGAGTCAGGACATGTGTCCGAGTCAGGACATGTGTCCGAGTCAGGACCTGTCTCAGAGTCAGGACCTGCCTCGAGTCTGGACAGATCTCTGAGTCTGGACAGATGTCTGAGTCAGGACCTGTCTCCGATTCACGACAGACCTCTGAGTCCTCATGCCTAATGGTGTTTTCAGGATTTTTTCTCACCAACAGAGTGACACCGTGTCAGAAGTGTCAAAACTGGATGCGTTTCCTCAGCAGAATTTCGCAACCTACCAGAGCGGATGATTATGGCCTTAAGAGTGCGTACAAGTTTTCAATCTGAGAATACCGGAAACCTTTAGTCATCCATTGTTACAGTCAGAGCAAGGTGGGTAGGGTGTACCGAAGAGTCAGAATGGGAGGCCGAGGGAACGGTGGCGGACTGGAAGGCTAGAAGAGGTTCGAAGAAGAAGGAGAGAAGGTGCGGGACTGACGTATCCTTAAAGAGGTGGGGGGTGGGGAAAGCGAAGAAGGAGGGAACGAAGGAGAGACATTGAGGGGGGGCTAGAGTACCATGAGAGGTACACTAGCCCCCCCTCAATGTAGAGGGGGGGCTAGTGTACCATGAGAGGTACACTAGCCCCCCCTCAATGTAGAGGTAGATGTGAGGGGTCGAAGATGTTGGGGGCGATCTAGCGTACAGTTGAGTGCTGGGGGGCGGACAGACGGCGTATTGCAAGAAGGGGGAGGAGGTCTGGCTGTAGAAGGAGGGGGGCAAAGGAGAGACATTGAGGGGGGGCTAGTGTACCATGAGAGGTACACTAGCCCCCCCTCAATGTAGAGGTAGATGTGAGGGGTCGAAGAGGGTGGGGGCGATCCCGATCCCCCTATAAATGCTATTTTATTTATATATTAAGGGCTATTGTAAACAAATATTTTAGTAATAGCGTAATCTATCGATTATTCTTACGATTAATCAAGTAATCATATAAAAAAATTGACAAAATAAAGTACTGGTAAATCTGACATAACAGCAGTGTTACTATCTGATATCAATATCAGTCCAATTTTTCATTTTTGAGCTTCCCTAACAGCTACTTTTTGTAGTTTAGAAAACTAACCTGTAATAACAACTCGCTTTCTAAGTTAACCTGAAAAAATTTACACAAAAATCTAAAATTAATTTCAGTTCAATAAAAAGAGGCAGGCTCACAAATATGCTTATTAAAACTGTCTATGATCCAGCTTTTAGTTTATGTGGTCAGTCAGATGAACTGTCACGTTGCCCCATACATATCAAGCTTTGAGTTTGAGAATATGGGAAATGTCGCCTGAAGTGGTGGTGGTGGTGGTGGTGGTGGGCCATAATTTAACAGTTTGTATATTTTAAATTAAGGGGAAAAAAACTGTTAAATTATGGAATAATTCTGTTGAAATTCCGTAAAAAACGAGAAAATGTATTGGCAGAAAATTACCAGGACATTTCCTTGTTTTTTTAATGGAAAAAATTGAAATAAAATACTGTTAAATTAAGGGAAACTTCTGACGGAAATTCTGTAAAAAACACTGAAAATATCCTGGCTGAGAATTACCAGGATATTTACTGTATTTTTATATACTTTTTTTTTTCAGAATTTTCATCAAAATATTTTCCATATTTAACTCTTTTTACTCTGTCTTTTGTGATTTATTCACAAACTTTTTTAAAAAACATTGGACTTTTCCAAATTCTTTTGTCCTCCAAACCTTTGAAGTCTGTATTCTATACCATATGTTAATTATAGTGTAAAATATATTAAAGTTAATGTATTTAATATATTCTTAACATTATTTTGAAACAAAATTTAATTCTAAGTCCACAGGAAATGTAGTTGTAGAACACAAAACACTTAGTTTGATCTCATGCAAAGTGATGTAAAAATTAAACCATTCTACAATCAATTTGCAGACCTTATTTTGCTATTTAAGACCATAAATTGACATGTCATCTAGTTTTTATAACTAACCTTTACAATTATATATTAAGAACTCAACATATTCTTGAGTTTGCCAATGTTTATCTTCTGTGCATCACAACTAATTTATTGCATTTTACTATACAAATTTTCATCGTATAAATTAAATGTAAAGCAGTCTTGACTCTAGTCTTTGAAATCAAATAAACAATTTTGTTAATTAACATGGAACATATAAAAATTGCTTTGGATCATGAAAATCATAGTTGTAAACAGGACCAACATAATTCAAAATAAATGCCGAAAGTCAACGATTATTTTTATGAAATACAGCTATAAATATTTTGTTAAAAATCAAATGCTACATAAACCCAGCCAGTAACACTTTATTTGAAGGCGGGTGAATAAGACTAACATGACACCGTCATAAACATCTGTCATGAATATCAATAAGTCTTCATGAATATTTATGAATGTTGTCATAAAGCTTCATTCGGTAAATTATGACACTTTTAATACAAAGTTGACATTATTGAAAATGTCTTTGTTTTGACAACTTGACATTAATCTAGACAAAAATGATTAATGATTGATTAATAGTATTCAGCAGGTTGTTTTCTTGTCAGCACAAAGACGGTACTCTTATCTTTCATGATAGTATTATAAAAATAAAGCTGTGGTCAACAAATTCCCACATATGATTTATTTACAATATGTAAATAAGTTACCAGTTCAGACACTGCTAGGATCATAGACCTTTGGAGCTGACGTCACAGCGTATGACGTTTACATCGCTCACTGAAGTTGGTTTCCATTTCTAGCTTCCAATAGCTAAAGGGCAATTCCACTTAATTTTTCACTACCTTCCGCATCAATAATCGACTGTAGTTTAAAATCTACTATTCCAAGACACTTCAAACCTGGACTAGATTATTCTGCTCTAGCAGAATATTTATAACCATGTTTGGGATTTGTGAAACCTTTTTCTGATTTGTGAAAACTCAAAGTTCGATTATCACCATTTTTTGGCATCTCTTTCATACTAGAACTGCTCTAATTAAAAAAATACAACTCCTAGACACTTCAAACCTGGACTAGATTATTCTGCTCTAATAGCAGAATATTTATAACCATGTTTGGGATTTGTGAAACTTTTATCTGATTTGTGAAAACTCAATGAAGTTCAATTTTCACAATTTTTTGGCATCTGGATCACCATAGATCTGCTCTAATAAAAAAAACCCAAAAACTCCTAGACACTTCAAACCTGCACTGGATTTTTCTGCTCTAATAGAAGAATATTTGAAACCATGCCTGTGATTTGTGAAACCTTTTTCTGATGTGTGAAACTGCAATAAAGGTAGATTTTCAC